ATCAATATATTAATATCTTCTCCCCTTTCTTTCTTTACTGGATTTTCTAGCCTTTTCTAATACTGTAGGGCTTTTTCAAAATATAAAAAAAGCGCATTCAACACACTTATAGCCAAGTCTTTTGCAATAAGAGCGATAAACTATATTCTTAGTAACTTTGCAAAGTTTTTTACCCTTATAGGGCTTTGAATCCTTCTTATTCTTATTAGAATAATTAAAAAAATTAGAATTTTTATACTTATTGTTATTATTTTTATTAAATAATAGAATATTCTTATTGGAATCCTTACGCTTAAATTCATCTAATAAATTAGAAGCTAGCGTATTTAAAGTATGGGTCTTAAAATCTTTCCTAAATTCTTAGGTTATAGAAGAAATTAAGCTTTTTTAACCTTCCCCTAAATTAAATAAAATCCAGGAAATTACCACTTAATTAAGTAGTTCTATATTCCTAGCCTTTAATTCATTAATTAAGGCTTTGATTTTATTAAAGAAGGCTTCCATTAAATCAAAATTACTAGGAGCAGCCTCAAAGAATTCCTTAATAATAAGGTATTCAGAAATAAGGCCTTGTAGGCTATATAAATCTTTTAAGGTTTTCCAAGCCTAAAAAGCAGAAACTTCGTATTGAATTTGCAATAGAGAACCTTCTTCTAAAATTAATTTTAATTTAGAAAAGGCTTCTTTAGCTTGCAAATCTTCTTTTTCAGCTATTCTATTCCAATCTTTTAAAATAGTAAAATAGGCTTCGGCCCTTAAAGACCAAATAGTATAATTTTCAATACCTTTAAGCTTAGGAAGCTTAAATTGGCTATCTATATTATAAAATGTATAATATATATATATATATATATATATATAAATATTTATATATATAATAGTTTTATAAAGACTTATTATAATAATAATTTTTATAAGGTTTTGAAAACAACCTATTATGCTGAAGGTAATTCTTAATATTTATAAGGATTATTTAACAAATTTCTGAAACCTTTTATTTATTCTTTTATAAATAAAAGTATGTAAAAAATAATTATATTCTTTAAGAAGAAAAATAACTATAAAAATCTTTTAGATTTTTAATCCTTATTTAATATAAGAATGTATAAGACCTTTGTCTTATACCTCTTATAAAGAGGACTCTTATTTCTTCACAATGGAAGAAATCCTTAAATATTTCTAAAAGAAATAAATAAGTATAAGAAAAATAAGAATATTTTTCAAAGGGTTTTTATTTCATTTCTATATAATTAAATATAGAAAAAGAATTTCTTTTTAGAAATTATAGAAGGGTTTTCCTTCGTTTTTAGCAAAGTCCAAAGTATTCTAGCTAATTCTCCAAATACCTTCGTTGTCAATCAAAGATAAAAGAAGCTCCGAAACCAAAATCCGGTTTATTCTTAAAGAATAATTTTGAAAGTGAGGAACAAAAACTCGTTGAATAAAATTTCTAAAGCCAATTTTAAGGTCTTCCCTCTAATTCCACCTATAATTTCCTAAAGCCTTATAATAATGAACGATCGAAGCTTCGAGGTCGAAGTTGTAAGGGAGTTGGTTTAACTAGGGTAAATTAGGGGGTATAGTAGGATCGATTTCTCGTTCAACTTTATATAATCCAGCGTAAGAAAATCAATAGAGGGCGAATTAGTTAAAGTAAGTCTTTATAGAAAAGGGCTTTTCAATATCGAAAAGGTAATAGATACTTCGAAAAGGGTTAAATTTCTCGGGATCGATATCGTCTTCAAATTCCTTATTATCGTCGAATAAATTAAAATAGCCTTCGGGAATTATATCGGCCTTATAAATAGGTTTAGGGTCGGGTAGGCAACGGGTAATTAAGCCGGGCTTATAACCTATTAGAGGATCATAATCGACGAATTTTTAAATAAGAGGAAAACCCTTTTCTAAATAAATAAAGAGGTAAAAATTACTTTCTCTTTAAAGGTTAAGAAAAAGGGTAGCTTAGTAGGGGTTAACGGGTATTGGAGTATGTGTGTATGTAGTGTGTTTAACGACGAATAAAATGGTATATAGAATGTAGGGAAAGGTGGTAGATTAGTAGAAATATCAATGAGTATTTAAAATATACTTTTTTTTTCTCTTTTCTTGAAGGAAGCCCTCTTTAAATAGACTTTTTGGATTAATGCGTTATCTAGTAATAAAACCGTTTGGACCTTTGGAATTGTTATTTCCTAATAATTCTAATGGTAGTCTAATTATTCTTATATGATAATTATAGAGTCCGGAATTCGAATCCGAACTCAAAAGTCTTCTCGGACTTCTTTTTTTACTTTTATTCCATATAGTCATTATATAACGAAACCGTTTGTACGGTCGGAAACGTTATGTTCCGTTCTTTCTTATGGAGTTACGTATGATTTCGTTCGATTGACGTTGAGGCCGGAATTCGACTACGAAGGTCGAGGTTTAGATTTTCCTCTGGGATTTCTTCCGGATTCTATTTAGGGCTGATCCCTATTGCAAATCGAACCTTTCTTCCGGACCGAAATTTTTCTCCGATTATAGAAATAGTATTTATATATTATTATATAAGCTCGTAAATGCGTTATAAGTCTAGTATTATTATTATTACATATATTAAGTCTATAATAACTAATATATACGCTAAAGGATTTTATCGGATTTTGATTGGGTACATTTACGGGATGACCAGGAAGGCTTATTTTAAAGGAATCAAAGGGCAAAACTATATATTTAATAATTTTATAGACGGAGACTTCTTTTACGGAGGGTAGTATTATAGGGTTAGATTATATGCCCTATGCTAGTTGTGTTATAGCTGTCATTAGCTAATGCATTGTATTGTAGTATAATAGAGCTATGGTACTAGGTAGCCTTGGTAGCGGTTACGGGGTAGATTTACCGCCCTAGCTGCGCACACCTTTCTTGCTTCCCTCGTATAATAATAAAGATTATACTTTATACCTAATGGTGCCCTCGCCCCATGATAATTATTTAATTTATTCGAAGAAGCCTTTAACGTCGTACGAAATTTAAAGAATTTGTTTAATTTAACCGTAATAATTACTTTAATAACGACGTTTAACCTTAATTTGTCTTATTAATAAGGGAAATACTTTCTCTTTCAATATTAACGATATTTTTAATAATATAATATATTAGAACTCTAATTACCATATAATCCGCCGTACTTAGACGTTACGCAAATTCGTTAATACTGTTAATCATTTAAAATTATTTAAATAGCTTCCTAAAAACAATTAACGTAATAATGATAATTGGGGGATTTTAATAACTATTATAAAAGTAATAAAACTATTCGAAGACCTTACGAAAAAATTCGAAAAAACAAAGTCTTTCTTTATAATAATTATCCTATCCTTCTACTACCTTATTAAGAAATTCGTTAAAATAAGAGTACAATTTAGAAGTAGCATTGCCTTCGAATTATTCGAAGGATTAAATGTTTTAAAATTAAATATTATTATCGCCCTTACTTTTATTACTTATTTTATTTAATATAGTATTTATATACGTACTTCCTATAATTACCCCTCTTAATTCCCCTCTTCTTAATTCGCCTCCTTTCAATTCCCCTCCTTTTAACCTACCTCTTCTTAATAATAATCTCCTAATAGCCCGCCTATCGATTATACTAATAATATAACTAATAAGAGTATAAAGATTGTCGGTATAATATTTAATAGAGTATTCGCTAAATTTAAAAAACATAAAGGGTTAATAAAATAATACCCAATATATTAAATTACATATATTTTATACCCTATTTATTAACGGGAATAGATTGATAAAAAGAATAGGCCCTATTAAGTAGAATAATACCCTTAAAGAATTCTAATTTATTTATAACGGAAATTATACTAACTAGTTAATCAATTTTTTAATAGTTAATATTAATAATCAATAGGTAGTACGAATTAATAATAATTAATTAATCGATGTAAATTTCTATAATACTTTTTTATTAAAATTAAAAAAGAAGGATAAGCTAAATTGCTACTTTAATAATAATATTTACGTAGTTAATAACGTTTTAAGGTAATAGAAGGCCAACGAAAGTATATACCTTCGGTTATTATATATGTGACGACTAGGATCCAGCGCCATGGGTCACATCCCATTCGTCTCATTAACAAGACCCACAAGACCCACCAGCGCCATTGATGCGCGCACTCTGATTGGTCGCATCGGCGGCATTAACATGCGTGCCCATTCAATTGGCACCGCGACCTATATGTCGCATTCACATATACTGTTAGATTAAATAAGGAAGGCGGTCGAGGCTGGCAGAATCTGGGCTCATCCCATATAAGGGTGCATACCAGAGCACAGCTCTCAACCTCTCCCTCTTTCCTTCTTTAGCTTTAGTTATTTATTCATTTGTACCCAACTACGCGATACGGAACTACGTAAGCTGGTGCATCGTAACAATATATAGTATTTAATTTCTATTCTATACCCTGTATAGTGGATAATTATAAGCGCTCTTTTAATAGCGCTAAATTAACTATCGATAGTTAAAGGTAGAGCTTTACCACTAAAATTATTAATATTATTAAGAATTTAAAGTTTTAGTTAGTATTTAGGGTACTAAATTATATTTAATATAAATAAATAATGTATACGACGTTGTAACCGTCATAACGAAGGGATTTATAGTTGTTGGGAGGCTTTGAGCGTTTTAAGAAGATAGAAATCGTAAGAATCCAAGCACTTTTGAGACTATAAATACCAAAAACGCGATTTTAGACATCAAATATTAGCAAATAAATAAATACAAATAAATAAAAATGAATACAAATAAATATGCACCCATATTGGACCCACTCAAATAAATACAGATCGATATTTATTTGTATTTGCTTTATTTCCAGCGCTGGTTTCGAGGCCTTCGCTATAGACTTGTCCGGTTGTCGGGTAGTCCCCCGTATACCCTAGGCATATGCTGCCTTGCCCCGTCATGCCCTAGTTGTAACTATCCAAGCCGCTAGCACGTTTCACCGTAGCCTGCTGTCGACATTGCAGCGGTGCACGGAGCAGCCTTCACGGTCGCAGAAGTAGAGCTTCTCGGTTCCCGTCTGCTGGTCCTTGACGAGGACGAGCTGCTTGGGCGTAGTGAGGATGCCATCGGCGAGAAGAACCTTCTTGTCGAAGCCATCGAGGGTGGAGGACATTAGGCTGCCGTCCTTGGCGGTGACGTCGGCGCCCATGTTGGTCCAGTACACACGGTTGGCGGAGGGGTCGACGTCGATGTCGTCGGGGAGGGGGGCGGTGACGAGGGCCTTGGGCGGCTGGTTGGGCTCGTCGAGGCGGAGGATCTTGCCGTTGGTGGAGATATGAAAGGGGGGTAAAGACGGGTGGGGGCCAGGGCGGAAGAGGATGGGATTGGGGCCGGGGCCGAAAGGGATTGGGAGAAAGAATGAAGCAAAAAGATGGCGAGTAAAAGAATGTTGCCGACCAAAACTTAAGGGTTACAGTAAACCATTTGTGAGGTCGGACACCTTCTACCCAAGCGGCACTCGAACACAATCCCCGGTAGGGCAATCTTTCGGGTCGTTGCGTATTTTGTTATTGTGAGCTGGTGGGTTGTCGAATTTGGATTCCTAGTGATTATAAGAATCGTCGTTGTCTCGCACTTCATCATTTTCATGGCTGGTTTCCTCCTCCTCTACTTGTTTTAACTTCATCTTCTGGGTAGCGGAAACCTTTGTCAGGGCTAGAAAGCCAATTGCTCCATCAGCATCGGCCTCGTCGTTATCGGTACCCGGACGAGGTGGGCGGTCATAATCGTCATCGAGGTGGTGGCCTGCTTTGAGCCATCGGGATGAGAAAACCTGGGCGCACCCATACCTTTCCTCCATGTACCTATGTATCCATCGATGCCAGCTGATATGTAAAAACCGTCGTTTTGTATGGTAAAATCGCGTTTTCTCGTGTCTTCTAGCATCCCTGCTAAAATCGACAAGTTTATTAGGACCGCTAGAGTCGTGATACTTTCGTGGTGTTGAGTGCAAGTTAAGTCCAGCCGTGCAGTGTAGTGCAAATCCATCTCTTGTTTATTCAGTTGGTGATATCTATTTTTGTTGTTCTACTCCTCCTCGTCGTCGCTAATTATAAAGGGGTTCTTCTGACCTCTCTCTATACCGCCCAGGGATTATGGTCATTCTCGTCGTTAGCGTGGCCCTCGTTGTATTGTAGGGTGGTGTTGGGTCGTGGTGATGTGACGTACAAAATGCCTCGAAATCGCTAAGTTTAAAAAGAGGTGCAAGATTGGTCAAAAATTTCACGAAATAATGTGCAATGTTTCGATCATTGAAATGGGGTATTTTCGCGGCTAAAAGTGGACTTTTGAATGTCGGGTGTTATCGATTGTCATGGGGTGCCAGGGACCCTAACCCTCTGGGACTATGGGTGCATGGAGGAAAGGTATGGATGCGCCCAGGTTTTCTCATCGGGATGGGCGGAGGTGCCATGGGAGGTGCCATGGGCCGAAATGGTTCCGGTGCCCGTTCTGGTACCTCATGAAACTCTTCTTCACGATGTTGGGGTCGAGGTAGCAAAGGTCTCAGCTGGGGAGGGCCTGGCTGGTGCTGAGGTCGAGGTAGCAAAGGTCTCAGCTGGGGAGGGCCTGGCTGATGCTGAGGTGCCTCCGCCTTTTTTTTGGCGCGTAATTTCCTTTTCCGCTCCCTCCGAGGTGCAAGATATGCTCAAGTCTTTTGTGTCCGTACTTATTTATCATAGCGCGGTGTAGGTATCGGCCCTTGGTTGCCCACATCCTCTTTCCGAGTTGGTCCTTCAAGATTGCTCCGGGCTTCCTGCGGTTTTCATGCGCTCATGCTTTCTTCAAGATTGCCGAAACGTAAAGGAAGTAAAGATACCGCGCTCTTGGGCGGTGGGTGGAAGTGGGAATGTCGGGTGCCTGGGAAGAGATTAACCGTTCTTGTTGCGAGGATCTGCTCCAGTTGGTCGAGGGTCATCCTGTGTTTTGTACCCCAGAGTCAGCGGACGGAATTTTGGATAAGGATATGAAGGGAGGATGGGGTATACCTGAAATATACCTAAGATGCTGAATCTACCTCCTCATGCCGTAGATGGAGAATGCCGTCCCTTTCCTACAGGGCGACCCTTCTCTGGCTGAAATCCATCTCCCTCTCATTCTCCTCCCACGCCCCCGCGGCCGCATCCGCCAACACTGGGCCCAGTGCACAGCAACGCTTGTTATGTGTGGTCGACTCGCGAGGATCGGTAGAGGATGTGGTGGAGGTCATGCGCGGAGCAGTTCTTAATCGTCATCGACCATAGGGTCCAGTCCTGCCACCGGTTTCCTGCTCGGCTCTCTTCTGGTGGCTATCGGCAGGTTCTTTCGTGGCATATTCCTCCTGCTCGTCATCGGCTGTGTTGATCGAGATAGCGTGCGGGACTTCTCCGTTGGAAGCAGGCTCTTCTCAGCCATGGTGGTCGCCCAGTCCCATCCGCTTGTTGGACGTGTTGACTTCGACGGCTTCGTCAGAAAATCGAAGCTTAGCCAGGGCACTAGGAGCACTCTCCCGCTTCGGAGCGGGTTTTTTACGGGAATGGAGAAAGCGAAAGGAGACTACCAGAAGCTCAGTTAGAAATTGACGAGGACCTGGAAGGCGAAGCCACCGAGCTGTACTGACCATTGACTTGGGCGATATGGCCTGTCGGAGTTGAAGCTGGAGTCAAGATGTTGGAATTGGAACGCGAAGAGGGACAAGAAGACAGATGCCCGATCTGGATGTCCATCCGTGGAAGGAGTTGTGGGCTGCCCCTGAGGGACATGCAGTGCAGTGGGGCGGGAATTTGCAGGCGGCCTACAGCGGGTGTGTTACAGTGGACATTGTCACTAACTGTTAGTGCAATACTCGGACCGGCACGGACACTCATGGATATCAAAAGTTTTTTACGGGTATGTCTCAAACAACCACTCTCCTATAGACCAGAATGCTGAATCGTCCATTGCTGTTGCCTCTTGATGTTTTCAAGTTGCTCTACGGGCAGTCGCAGAGGTGGCAGGTCCGTCTGTATTGAGAACCGCGCCATCTCAGTTGGAGATGTGGCAGGCACGAAAGGACCCACATCCATCCACGAGTTGCATTAGAAAGGCATCCCCTCTCAGGGCCGAAGTGCAGCATGCACGATCCTAATTTTGCCAAATGCAGTGAATCCGAATCGTTGGAACCGCTTCTCGTCTTACAAATACCATATACTTCCCCTCTTGAACCGAAGAAACGAAGCGATGGAACGACGGAAGACAACAAAAAGACATTCACTGCAGCGTGAAGTGACCCAAAACCTGGGATGCGGCTCTTCAGTCTTCGTCCCATGCTATCTCTCCCACAACTGCCTTAAACAAGGCAACAGACCTTGAGACCTTCGAACCTGGACGACCACCAAAAAAATATTCGACGAGTAACAAGAATTGTAACAAAAAGCACTGGTTTGAGATTTCGTGCCCTTTTCACAACCCACACACCACGATTAGCTTCCGCAACCCTAAAAACGAAACGTCTACTGACCTCGACATCTCTCAGCTGTCAACCTACAAAACGGGTCGAAGACCTTATCAAAGCCGAATATCCCAAAATACCACACCGGCAGCAGAGACTCCAGCAGTGTCGCCAGCGATGATTCCACAGCGGCCACACCCGCGCCGCACCGCGCCCTCGGGTGTCCCTTTTCCTCGACGAACATTGCGTTGCCAGGATGCCCAGATCCGGTTGCCGGAAGATTCCATTCACGAAGCCGGTCGATCGCCAGTAGCTCTCCACGTCGAATTCCACGAAGACGAAGAATCCGACTCGCCACCTAGAGGACAGGGTACCTCGAGAGGAGTTTACGGCAGTCAACCTCCAATACCCCTCCAAGGCGACGAACCCAGCCTACCTACAAGACAGGGTACCTCTAGATGGCTCTTCACCATTCCACCTCCCACACACCTCCACGAAAGTGATGAGGACAGACTGATCCGGAGGAACATTGAGGTGTTCCGACGTCGCCTTCGTGCAGGTCTCCTTGCACCTGTCTACCACCATTCACAGCAAACCCGTAGACGACCTCTCCTTTTTCAAGACATGGAACAGCCTAGCCGTCAAAGCCGAAGACACCCGCGCAGTCCCAGCCCTATTCCCCGCCCCTCCAGCCGCAGAAGGCTTACCTTAACCTCCCACGATAGCTGGATTGAGGTAACAGTACCCGAAGCCGCCGCCTCCGCAGCCAGACGCTCCCATGCCGCCGGCCCCGAGCCCGAAGCTGAACCCGTACACCCTCCACCTCTTTACCCTCGTGAGCCCACAATCTCCAACGAGCGCCTCAACGAGCGCCTGGCCGAGATAGGCCCGCGCAGGGAACCCGCGCCCGAGATTGCCCACCTCATACCTCTACCTCGCGCACCCCAAGCCGACCTCTTCCGACCGCCACCGCCTTACTCACCTCGCATCCCAAGCCTACATCCCACAGCCCACCTCATACCTCTACCTAGCGCACCCCAAGCCGACCCCTTCCGACCGCCACCGTCTTACTCACCCCGCAATCCCCGCCTACATCCCACGGGCGAGGACTACGACCTCACATCCAGTCTCTACCATCGCCTCCACAACAACGGCGCTCCCCCTCTGCCAGTCTACACCCCCGTTGCCGGCCCCAGCGAACGCGTCCTCCAATTTGGAGGAAGTGAGTATGAGCAACGGAACGCCTTGTTGCGCTTGTTGCAGGAGAGGAACCGACAGGAAAGAGAAAGAGAGGAGGCTATGGAAGAGATACGATTGCTGACCTGGGAAGAGGTAAAGAGTCACATGGAGAGCGGTCTCGCTATATACGGAAGTTCCAGATGATCAATCTTCCTCCTGGCGTACTTTGCTACGAAGGTCTTGATGAAAAGCATCTACCTGGTTTTCTTGTGTTGGAAAAGAAGAGTTCGTGGGGCCGGATTTTGACAGCCCGCAAAGCATGGAGCAATACCTAGCATTACCGACGGTGTTGGATACTGGTGGCCGGTATGATCCGGCGGTTCATGAACGACAGATCTCGCTCACGGTAACTCGCAACGGCAAGGCTTGAGGGATCACTTGGACTAAGGTCAGAGGCAGGAGAATAGGGGTTGGTTTTATCGCGACCGGAGCTCGGAGCCCGACTTGGCAGCTAGCTATTGGGGATCGATGACAGGGGGTAGCGATCTTACAGTCGACGGCACACATATCCAGATTTGGCTCACTCACTAAAGAGGATATGGGTGGGAGAGGACCATGACAATTCGCATGCATGGAAGTATCACGGCTTGGAAGATTTTCGGCAGCTTGCCCAGAGGCGAGGACAGGAAGAGAAGATCAAGTGGAAGTCAAGAATCGGGCTGTCAATTAGCGCTGTCAGTTAGGGGCGGTATGCGGGGCAGCGGGGGCATCGCTCATTCGCTCATGCTTGCGAATAGCGCAATAGCATAATACTTTTCACTGAGATGGACACTCGCAAACCATATTGCTTCGATTGAATACAAGGCTCTTCCAGCTGCTTTAACAATTTGGAAGGAATGTTGTAATTGTGTTGGTCCAATACTTCGTAATTCCTATCATTTAACGAATTTTGTCAACCTCGCCGGTTGTCTTCCGCATGAACTCAACTATCTAAGTCCAGCGCCAAGACCCGCACACCCGCTACACGGCCCCCGGCCTCCGGCCCGGCCCTCGAGGGGAGTCCACTGGACAGCCTTCAAAACACAGCTCGGAGGAGTCGGCGTCAAAAACAAAACAGCTCTTCAAGATATCACAACCGGGCCAAACTGCAATGGCAACCACCTAGTTCCACACCCTACCTCAATTCTCCGTCCATGGACAAAACCCATTATCCTTCTAATCTTCCCTGTCGACCAGGTAAAAATCGGTTTCTCTTGACAGGAACAGAACGCCATCATTCAATTGTCCCTGCTGTGTTAAACAGATGTTCCATATTACTGCTTCGCGGTTGTGTTCATTACGTTACGAGACATCAACAAGTTTGCTTACCCAAGAAACTCGCCACGTGCTCGCCAAACTTGCAAACATGGAGGAGGTATAGAACCAAGCTTTCCTTTTTGAGCCACCTAGATAATGCTGGCCGTTAACTCCGACCTTGTTCTGCCTGTTCTTCCTGTTCTGCCTACCTGTGCATCAAAAAGCAAGTCAAGCAAGTTCGAGTCGTGAGGTGGGCAATGTTGTAAAGGACAGCTTTCACTAACTGCCCTAGTGCCCTGGGGGGATTGCAGGACATGTATGCTGCTAGATATATATGCTGCAGGTATACGTGCGGGCAACTTGAAATGTACGGACATCATTGCTGTGCTTCCTCAAGTGCTACTGCTGCTCAATGCCGGGCGTCTAAAACTCGCCAAATCTAAAAGCCAGATTATGCAATGCATCTCCCTGTTTCCCAGTTTAACGAGGTTCTTCGGAGATAAAGCCCGGTGACATGCCATATTATCTTGAAAAAAGCAAGAAAACTAGCTGGGTTAAGAATGTCAGTTTATATAACCGGGACGGGATCTGCTTCGGTCTCGTCCGAAGCCCAGTCCCCAAACCAGGCACTCGCAGGCGGTGTTTGTTGTCGATTCGAGACTACACTATCTGAGGGTTGAACCTTGAGGCTTGAACTCCGCGTGAAGGCGATGTGGGAATTGCAGAAAGTTCTGCATGCATACTGCAGTGAATGGTATGGTGGTGAAATGCGCGTGCTGCTGGAAGGCGCCATGGAACTAAGGTAAACCGGACCTCCGGGATGCAGAGAATATTCATGCCCGTTAAAGTCCGTGCCAGCCCCTCTTCGCTTCGTATATATCGCTCTTACTATCCCATCGTCATCAACTTCGCCTCACCTTCCGAACTTTCAACAACCGAAAACCTCCACAATGGCACCTTCCAAAACCCCCGACTTCCCCGAGGAGGTATGGCGTCTAATCATCCAACACGGAGTTACCATAACGGCAACCTCAGATTACCGCACATGGGACTGCTACCACTCCGACGAGGTAAACGACCAGCTCCGCTACGATCCAACCACCCAGTTCAACCACCAGCGCTTGAGGAGGGACTACAACGCCATGCTCAACCTCTCGCAGACATGCCGTTTTTTTCACGACCTTGTCGCCGACGAGCTATACCAGTACATCGTGCTCTGCGACGACCACGGCATCAAGCGTGAAAAGTTAGCACTCTTGTTACGAACCTTGCTTGAGCGCCCCGAGATCCGCGACCGGGTCAAGCATATCACGATGGTACCCTGGTTTGGTGGAAATGAGCCAGAGCCGTGCGCAACCGCCCTTCGGCTGATGGGGAGGGGGGCACGACCTGTTGATTACCAACAGGCCTTTACCTTTTTGAAAGGAAAGGATATCAAGAAAATGGATATGCAAGCCCAGGGCATCATCGACACCGCTGGTCTTGAGCTCGCCAACCTGCCCATTAATCGTAGGGTAAAGAAGTCGACAGCGTGGCTTGAGAGGGCGCTTGCCGCGTTGGTCTGCCTATCGACTGGCCTTCGAAGCCTGTCGATTCAGGATCCTCCCCCAGCATCTGGCTGGAAATCGGCGTGGATGTGGTCGTTCGATGTAGACGGGTTCGAACGCGTCATTCGTAATATCCGGGATCTCCCTACTTCACAGGGAAAGATTTTTCAGAAGCTGGAAGCGGTTTCCGTCTTGACGACAAGGTCCAAAAACGATTCCAAGGAGGCGTTCACCGTCTATTCCTCTCCGCGCCTGACTGGCTTTCAAGCGCTTGGGTTCCTCAGCATGAAGGACTGGTAAGTCAGAGCCTTTATCCTTGTGGCTGTTTCTGTTTTTCTCTGCGCTCACCTGGCTAGTACTTGCAATACTATAGGCATCGCTTGGCTGACTTCCGGTCAATTTTGGTCCACCTGGATATCGGTCACCTCTACCCACAGTTGTTCCATGTTAGATGGATTGGCCTCGACAAGCCCAACCCGGCTCGGGCCCGCGAAGCCGCGCAGTTTAGACGTATTTTGTCGACATTCAATCGACTCAAATTTCTACGAATCTCTTATACTCTCCTTATCGGCCACCTGGAAGAGGAGACCAAGAGATTTGGAGACATGATATCCGAACTCCTTCCTCAGTCCGTCGAAGATTTCCAGATAGCGGTCTTTAACCACGGGGTAGATACCTGGATTGAGCGACCAAACATCGACATGTCCGTCAAGTGTTTTTTCCAGGGTCTTGGGTCATGGACATGGGAGCTGGAGCAGAAAGGATACTGGTTTAACTTTCGCGCCACACACCGTGATCTCCGGAAATTTGGTATATTGGTCCACCAGAAGGGCAATTCCCGGGACCAATCCGAATTCTGGATAACTAGACGGTCGATCAACTTGAAGAGGCTCCGGACATGGCTAGCTTCAGGGGATAACTATATGGATCCCAGCGAACCATACCACGCGTATCTCGAATATGTCGGGTATCCCAGTGATCGCGAGGATGACGAGGAAGATGCGACGGATAACGCTACGTACGATGGCTATTGCCCCCGTGGAACTCTACAAACCCTACAGGCCCAATTGGAGCAACTAGGGGTGGACTTCCAGGTTTCTACCTTCCAACCTCCGATGTTTCGTAGAGGTAGTGACGAATTGCCTGGCGGGTCGGAGGGATATGTGCGCCGGCTCATATGAGGAATTGGCGGCATTGAAGCCATCGCACGCTGTGGTGTTTCCTGGTAACGGTGGATTCATTCGACACGGGTCCACGCTGTATGGTGGAAGACTGCGTCCTTAGCTCTACAAATTTCCTCTCCATAGGTTGATCAGCGACTTGCTACCACAGAGATCTTTTGCCCAGGTGGCTACATACCTCTGCCTTTGTCGCCTTCGCTTGGTTCAGCAAGCTGTTGCTCAAAAGGCTCATCACATCCAGGGGAACAGTTTGCCTATCAGCCGCCGATGGCCGAGCACGAGAGGGCATGATGCCGTGGAGAAGCCCAAATAGGAGGCGGACGATGACGCCGAGGACGACTCCCACGATGAAAGTGCCAATGTCGCTGCGGAGGATGTCCGTCACGCCGGTCCGGGTCCGACGAGAAGTTTGGGACCGCTCCATGCTAGATTGAAGCAATTGGGGCCGGACCTCCGAGTTTCCCTCTTCCACCGCCGTATCTCGGCTAACGGGGTTGACCTTGGTGAGGGCCTCTTGCATCGGCTGCTACGGCAACTGGGGGGTACACTTTCGGGTAGTAGACTGGAAGGAGGAGATGGTAGATGGATTGATGGCAGTTGGCGAAGGGAGAAAGTCGGTTCAGGGAACTTGGAGGAAATCAAGAGAGAGATAATTGATACAAGTAGATACAGTGATGTTCCAAGGAAATGATGCAAATGGTGAACACGTGCCAAGGTTAACATGGAACGAGACAGAAGAAAGTTGATGGGAAAAGATTCTCCTCGCACGAGCGGCTTCTAGTTTCGACAGTTTGTCGCCGCCATACGCTCTTTCCCTTCCCACCATTCGCCCCACAAAGAACATGAACTCATTGCACCTTCCATTATTTTTCATAAACCCTCGCCTCCTTCTCATTTACCGTGCATCTCACTGCCAGCCGGCTAGCAGCGGCCCATGTTCCTGAACCCTCTCTCTCCATCACCACTTCCCCTTCCTCTCCCACCTACGCATTAATCTCCACCCCCTTATACTCCTTACTCCCCGCCTTCAACTCCCACGGCGCAAACACATTCTTGCTCCCCTTCAACGTGTCCCTCAACTCCGGGAAATGTCTCCCCAACACATCCTTCATCCCGCTATCCTGCACCCACTTGAACCCAACCTTGGTATACATCTTCTCATTCCATTCGCCGGCAATGAACCGATCGCTCTTCAGCCTCCTTGACGCCATCAGAATGAAGATCCTAAATGCCGTCTCGCTGAATCCAAACCCTGGGATCACAGGCTCCGAATGAGACCCGACCAAAGCGTCGACGAGGGAGATGTCGTTGTAGGCTTCCGCCAGTTCTGCTGCTAGGACTTTGTTGCCGCCGGTAAGTTCTTCGAAGGTCTTGGGCACTGATAGGCGGAGCATCCTACGGAACTCGCAGTAGCGGGGGACGCCACGCTCGCGGTCGCGGAGGATGTCAACTGTTCCAAGGTCGCGGACTTGGCCGTCGGGGGTGCGCAGGTTGCGTAAGAAATCGGGGTAGTTGTTGTTGGTGATGGCGCCGGGGTAGTTGATGCCGAAGGAGTAGAAGACGTCGGCGAAGGAGAGGCCGTCGTCGAAGGGGGTTTGGGATTTGGTGAAGGTGGTGTCGACGACGGGGATGGTGGTGGCGTGGTGGCCGTCGTTGGCGGAGAAGAAGGCGATTGTTTCTGGTAGGCAACCGGGTCAGTAAAGAGGGAGTGGTAAAATAATGGGAGGGGAGAAACAAACCAGGCATCAACGAATGCATCCGATAAACCGACACGAACTCCTCCGTCAGTGAGTACGGCGCCCCATCCTGCTCCGCTCCGCTGCCGGGAATTCCACTGATAATCTCGCTCGTCTTCGACAGTCTTCCCGCGATCTTGGTCAACTTCTCTCCGACAATCCCCCACCAGTTGGCAGCCATTCCAATCTGCAGCGCCGGATGCGCCAGAATCGCCGGCGTCCACTCCACCGTATGGATCTTGGCCATCAATGCACAATTCACCAGCCTCGCCTTATCAAAGATCTGGTCCCCGCTCCAATCCGGATACTCCTTGCGCAACGCATCGCAAACGGCATTGTGCTCCAGCGCAAACAGCGTGTGCAGGATCTCCATTCCCACCCACCAGTTGTCGCTGAAGCCCGTCAAGACGTTTCCATCTTGGTCCCGAGGGAGGAATTGCTCACGCCCGCGACTGTCGAGGGGTAACTTGCCATCTGGATCGCGGTTGCGGAGCTTCTGTGTTACGGACTCGGAGGAGCCGTAGATCTGTGATCCGTCCCACCAGTGGGTGTTGAGGTTCTTGTACCCGGGACACTTGATGTCGGATGGGTCGAGAGTCTCATCTGGCTTGGTGGCGTATAACTGCATGTGTTCATCGAGCCACTTGTCGTCCTTGGAGAGCGGGACGTCGAGCTTCTCGTGGGGGTCCTAAGATATGACCAGAAAGAGTCAGCCAATGATCGGAACTAAGAAGGGAGAAGCCGAAGCCACACGAGTACTGGGAACACCCGATGTTGCACAAGATCACAACAAATGCATGATCGGCAAAGTCCCCAGCCCAGAAAGGAAAGTCTCACGGGAATACACACCTGCTCATGAAAAAACCAATCATGCGTCTGAAACTGGATCCACGCCGCCGCCAACAAATTCAGTGTCGTCGCCGGGATGAACTTGCCCTCCTTCCTCGCCATGAACCTGTTGCTGATCTCCCTCGGATTTGGCGTCCACAACTCCTCCTCGCTCGGCTTGCCGCAAGCTTCCCTCGGGAAATTCCTTCCGAACTTCATCCCCGTACATCCCATCCTGGGCTGGCTCAAATCATTGAACTTGCCATCGGAGTGTCTAGCGCCCAGGTAGCGCTGGTCCGGCAGAGGATCGGTGACGGAATTACCCTGAGCGGTGGGAGTACTGTAGGCGTCGTGCAGGTTGTATTGTCGTAGCTCGATGCGGAGAAAGGCCAGGTTAAAGGCACCGATGAAGCCGGGGAGTTTGTACCACGGGATTAGCTTGTTGAGGAGGTGGAAGGAGGAGATGCCGAGGCGTTCGAGGAGGGTGGGGGTGAAGGAGGGGACGAGTTCGACTGGCTTCTTATCGTCGTCTGCTTTGGAGGTAGAGGCGGTGGAAGAGGTGGTGCCGTTTGGTTTGGAGAGGGTGTTGGGCATTTTGATGAGGTGTGGTGGTCTACACCTATGAGAATGTTGGATGGTGGTTGTTGTGATGGTGAGGTTCTTGAGGTGTTGTTGATGCTGGTCGTCTTACTAACTTCTTCAAGCGAGGAACTGATTGACGAAAACAGAACTCCCACTTCGACCTCAACCCAAGGACCCCCACAATCTTATACCCATTGCCTCATGCAGTACCATCCCCCACCCCTTCCACGCAGCCGCTCACTCTTCCTCCCTCCTCAAATCCTCAGCTCGACTCTAGTTACTCCCTTCGGGGATTCCGTGGGTGCCATGGCGGGTGATCCGTGACGCCAATCCCGCATCCCTCATCAGCTGCCGCCGCCATATTGTATGCTTACCCCTACCACTCGAAAGGCTGAGCCAACTCGGGAGGTCAAGGGTTGTAGCAGAGCTGCTGATTGGATGACAGTCCGGTGTGAGATCCAGGGCCTTGTCGTGGGGTGGTAGGTGGCTTTCCGAGGGCTTACATGTAAGATGATGCTCGTTCCCTCCTGTCCATCCCCTAACCGAAAGGGAACGACATGGATGCAGTGCCGCTCGAGCACCGAGGTGATTGACCCCGATGTGGGAAATTCCGGGCTTCGTTCGCCGTTGTGATGCATTTCGTTCCCCTCGATTCCGTCGAACAGATGTGGGATTTTCTGCTACACGATGCAGTAGAACTCGACAATAACTGAACACTTGTATCCCATAACGAAGAACACCAGTGTTCACAGGATTGATCAACGAACGGTTACGAGTAAGTATTTCAACCAATCATCACCGAATCCGGACTTGACCGGTCAGCCCATCAGCCCATCAGCCCGTGCCGCCCGCGTCGGCTGTGATTGCAACCCTCAGGGACCATGTGCAGAAAAAGGGGGCAGTGACTGTCAGTGGAGGCAGGGGGTTCGGACGGACATCTTCCGAATTGAGCTCTCGAAGCTCAGCCCTATCTATTCCTATGCTTCCGAGACCCTGCTTTTGTTTGCTTTTGTTTTGCTTGTTGAATCATTTAGTCAAGGAGTGATTGGGAGGTGGACATGGAGGTGCAGGAATGCCGACATACAGGTGCGTTATCTGTCTGTTATTGCACTATCACCATATCACAGCAAAACCAAGACGGCCCGTTAAGGCCATTTCTTAGTCGAAACTACCTTACCTGCCTACCTAGTCTTGTCGAATCGTGATATGGGAACTACTCAAAACATCGACGTCTTCTTGTAGGCGAGGAGGTATCACGAAAGCATAGGTACGAAGGCATTTTGCAAGTTCTTTTGTTGATTATCATAGAAATCTCACCCCAGCCCGTGCCACCTCAGACTTGATATGCACCTCCGCCGCCTGTTGACCTATGGGTTCATCGCCCGCATTTATTGCCATCCACCACATTCTTCCATACCACTCCGGCACTCCCAGAAGCATCAACGACGACGTCTCCCAAAGGCTGAAGTTGGCAGTCTCTCATTCCAACCCCTCCACCACCAGCCCGGCATCGACCAAGCTTACAATGCTAAGCCTCTGGTCATTATCGTCTGCCCCAACCGTGGACTGGTTGTCCCAATCATCAACGAGGCTCGAAAGTTCTGCTACCGTTCGATATCACTGGCGGTTTTGGAGAAGATGGAGAATGAAGGTCAAGGTCTGGTTTGGCATTGTGAACTATGTAGTTTGGAACATTGGGGGGGAACTATGTAATTGTGTGCACCAAGGGAACCATGTGACGTCCGGAGCGTAGCCAACGTGTGGGTAGGCGGGCTGGGCCTGATCCCAGGAGGTGATAGGCAAAGGCTGCATTGGATGAATCGGTCTACCGTTGACATCAGCCGCCCCGTGGGGTGAGGCAGAGCTGTAAACTGGAACTCTGAGTTCGTCAGTGTCAGACATGATCATCGGGAGAGGCTCATAAGAATTTCACTCACCAGTCTGTGCGATCGCAATGACATCGTGTCCTTGGGAAAATGTGTTGTTGAACGTTGGGATTTGAAACTATGTGATTTGGAACGTTGAGAGGAACGATTGTTTCGAAGTAGAAGCTCCGCAAACAGCTTGAAAAGGTCGAGTCCTGATGCTGGATTCGACTTTCTCCAGCTGTTTGCGGAGCTTCTCCGCCTTCTGTTCTTGCCTCATCAGCAGAAGAACCTGTTGGTTGATGAGTCGAGTTAGCAGCCATCCATACCAGTATCAGGCCTGTCATCAGACCATGCGCTTCAGAGTGAGTGACTTGCCCGACGCAGTCCGTAGCTGCGCTGGCCGTAGGACTGCTGCTGGTAGCCGCCCTGGCCGTCGGCTTTGAAACTGGTGTTGAAGCTGGTGTTCGAGCTGGTGCTGAAGCTGGTGTAGGTGGACACAGCGGCACTGATTCTGGTTGCTCAGGGTAGCAACGGCCATGAAGGGGCAGGAGGCTGTTGCTACCCTGAGCAACCCTAGGCTCCCCCAAGACCAGAACTTGTATTGATGGGTTCTACTCCCGCGCCAGAAATGTCAGCATCAACTCAGATATCAAGCACCAAGGGCAAAGCGAGGAACAACTTACCTGGGTCTTGGAGGAGCCTAGTTGTAAAGTAGGTCGAGGGAGCTATGTTGTTGTTGAACTGTTGTGTGTTGGAACCAACTTGCTTGAAGTTGTTGGGAATGGAACTGATGCGCCCGAAGGCGATCGATGTGGAAGGAAGGAAGAGAAGAGGAGAAGAATTTTTATGGGAAAGGAGGAGGGGAGGACCGCCTTTTATAGCCGAGGAGGGGGAAGGAGAGGACGGGACGGGAAGAGGAAGGGGTCCACATGGATTTTCAGCAACAGCTGTCGAGTTTGACAGCAACAGCTTGTTTACGTCTGGTAGACCTCCAAAGTCCACTTGAAATTGCAGCAACAGCTGTCAGCCTGTCACGCGGTTAGAAAAAGAGGCTCTTCAAGTCTGGCGGACCGCCCAAGTCCAGATGACACAGCTTGTTGGCACCTGTCAGTGCCTGCAGACTGAGGCTCCTGCCGTGTGTGTCGTCCCTTTGCCAGCCATATTGGAGGGAAGTGGAAGGAACGAGGCCGAAGCAAACAGTACGTACTCGTCTGGACCAGTGAAGTGCGTTCACTGCCCCCTCTCGAGAGGCACGTGGGGGATCAAAGTCGACTGAGAGAGAAGGCAGGAACAGACGAAGCAATGCCCCAGGCAGCAAGATGTGGTAACGCTGGTCTGTGTCCTTGGTGGTGACGGGACCCGACGAGCACAATGGTGATAGTTGTGTGATAACCTAGCCCGTAGAGTACCGAAGTCATCATCATTCATCGTCCTCGTCCAAGTCTAGAGCTAGCGGAGAGTTGCCAATAAACCCTGATTCCTCTTCTATCTTCTGCTTCCATGCTCTCTACCCGTTTCGCAATGATACTCGGTGATGCGTAGCCGTGGTGACAGCCCAGCCGAACTGACAGGGTCCAGTGTCAGCCGAGACTGCTGGGAGCCGTTATCTGAAATCTTACACAGCGATCACATTGACTCTGCAAGATTGAGGTATGAGCCGCTAGGCAGATAAGTGATTGACCACAACCTCACATAGCACCCAAGACGACAGAGAGGACGATACTTTTCCACCAGACTATCCAGAACCACACGTCCTTGGCCTAACAACTCCCCTCTTCTTTGTCAACCCCATCGAGAACGAATCCAAAGAACACCCAGAAACTCCCCTCGCCAGCCCCTCAGCGTCATTTTCACCGACAACTTCACCGAAAACTTCCCTCGCGACGTCGCCAATATCAGCAAGGTGACGCCTCAACCACATACAGGCTATCACTGAGACTGCCATCACAAGCAGCCCATTTCAAACTTCAAACCTGCCCGGCATCTATCTGTGAGGTGAGTTTTCCTGATCCTTACCTACCTTAAGAACCATAACCCGCCACTGCCCCCCTCCCCTCTGCTTCAGTTGACCTTCCTCACCCCTCACCCCCCTCACCGCAGACTTCATACCTCTAGACCTCATATTAACACTTGCTCAACGAATTCCCAGACAAGAAACTCACCTCAGAATCAAATCATGCCCGCCCAACCTTCCACTTCTCAACCCCCTCCCCCTCCCCCTCCCCCTCCTTCGATCACGATCGTGATCACATCACCACCTCATCGAACGACCACAACCACGACCGCGACCGCGACCGAGACCATCCAGAGCACGGCCACGACCAGGACCACGATCACCACCACCATCACGACGATCACCACCAGAACCAGCGTCACGACCACGACGATCACTGCCGAGGAGATTGACAGGTCTACAGCCACGATGGTGGACGTGACCTTTGACACGACCATTGACATGGATATCTGGGAAATCGAGTAGGCCTGGCCTGCGCAGTGTCCAGTACCCCCGCAACGCACTTGCGGCGTTGCCTTGTGGACATAATGCCTAGAGAAGCAAGCTGGATGGGTTCATGGATGGTTGGAGAGAGCCGGCGTCGGTGTGGCAAGGCCTTGCTGCTTGTCCATGTCGTGTTCTCGTCGTTGTATGTATTCCTTTGTCATATTGTCCTTGGCTAGGCAACACTAACAGCTTCGCAGTCTCCATCCAGCTGTATTGGACATCGTGGACACTCTGACTCGCTCGTGGTATTGAGCCTCATCGACATACATGGAGGTACTGGTACAAGGGTGACATGGGAAGACAAGACAAGGCAAGGCAAGCGGGCATGAAAGGAAGGAAGAAAGGCACTCACATCGTAGTCTAGAAGCTCTGAAATGAATGACGCTGCTTCCCTCCCTCCCAACACTTTTTCATACCTATGCTTTTACACTCTGAAGCCTCTCTCGAGCACGATTCTACCGGCAGGGCTTCATTAACCATTTCCTTGTTAGCGTAGGGGGGCGGATGTCACAGATGCTTCTCCGAAGACTTCGCCTCCTTGAGAAAACAAAACATAATCGGGTATATTGTCATCAATCATCGCTCGTAGTCACCATCCCCCTTCATGTCTAGATTCCCCCCTCCTCTCCTCTCCCTCTCCCCTCTTCAAAACTCCCCCTTTCGAGGCCCCCCCCCCCCCCCCCCCCCCCCCCCCCCAATCCTCAACGACCCATCACTAACTCCCTCACTTCTCAGCAGGCTTAACACTCTGCGGATTCCAAAAAACCTCCTTCGGATCCCACCGCTTCTTAACCCTCCTCAACTCCTCATAATTACTCCCCCAATACTGCTCCTGCGCATCCTTTAGCTCCGGATCGACATACCCCGCATACGTCCCGAACGCGCGCGTCGACTTGGTAATCTGGTTATGGAAATTCTCCAAGAAGGCCTTCGTCTTCTCGCTGAGCGGTAAACCGATGCCGTAGCTCTGGTAGAACATGACCTTGTCTCTGTGCGAATAAGCGGTGGCGTTCATGGGCACGTCAGCGATGGCGCCGCCGGTGGCGTCGAAGATGATGAACCAGAGCGGGGTGCCCTTGTCTTGGGTGTCGGTCCATTTGAAGATGTCGGCGATGCCGGTGGTGTTGATCAGCTCTTCGCGGCGGAAGGCGAGGGACTTGGCGTAGAACGGGGTGGCGAGGCCGGATAGGTAGAGCGCTTCGTTTTCGCCGTCGCGAGCGAGGGCCGTGAGCCAGTCGTTGTTTCCTACCGAGTCCTTCTTGCCGGGGAGGCGGTCGGGGATACCGCTGGCGCGGTACTCGGCTTCGGTGCCGTAGAAGGTGCCGGTGATGATGGCGCCGGTGGGGTTGAGGATGAATTCGGAGCCGAAGCGACGGTCGAGTTTGGGATCGGAGATTAGGTCTTGCCAGGCTGAGTAGGTCGAGGCAACATCGGCGGATTTGCCGAAGATGAAGGTGTAGCTGTACTGGACTACGTTGGCGGGCTCGGGGTGGGTGCGGACGACGAACTCGGTGATGACGCCGAGACTGGAGGCGGCGCCTCGAAGGCCCTGTCCTTTGTTAGTGAGTAGTCGCGGAAGAAGGAGGGGGCAGGCATACCCAGAACAGGTCAGAGTTTTGAGTCTCGCTGGCCCTCTGGATCTTGCCATCAGCAGTTACCACTTCCACCTCCACTATGTGATCCAAGGCGCTTCCCCACATGCGCGACATTGGGCCAAGACCACCCTAGGAAGATGTCAGCAACCTGGTCTATCATGGATCTCCAGTGCCGAGGACCTACAATAGTAGCATGCCCACCAATGCCAACATCCGGACATACGCCATAAGCCATCGCTCGGCCGCCCGCATCATGTAACCTATCCGTGACATGTCCAAGACGGCTGCCGGCACCTATGGTGGCTTGCCATGTCTTGTTGTCCATGGAGAACTGCTGGAAGTTTTGAAGGTCGATGGTAATAACTCCATCCTGACCTCCTCCAAGGCCTACGTTCATCTCAGTTAGCGTCCAGGAATTCTCGCCCGTAGTGTTGTATCCCAGCGAGTGACCTACCATAATTCCTGCGTCCCTCGTTAGCAACTATCCACTACATAGAAGAACACAAGCGAACTCACCCGAACGAATGCCCTCCCGACTTAGCCTGCACCTTGTACCCGTTCTTGGTAGCACACTTCACTACCTCGGCCACATCGTTGCTATCCTTGGGCCTCACAACGGCCTCGGGGACCACTTTGATATCGAGATTGTACGGTTTGACCCATGATAGTTGGTAAAGAGGTGTGCTGGGATATGCTGCGAAGTGGGAGCGGCCGTTGGCAATGCCATCGATGCACGTTTGGAGTGCGCTGTGACCTTGTCCCATTGTGGCCTTTGTTCCTGGATGATGAGTTGCGTCCGGGATAAGTTGACCGAATACAGGGTCAAGTATGGAGAAGAAAGGAAGGAAGGAAAGAAAGAATACGTGGAGAGGATTAGAGCAGAGGAGGCTTAAGTGTTTCAAGACTGGAGCAAACAATACGGGATACGAGTGCCGAGTTGGTCGATAGGTATGCGTGATAAACAGTGAGGATGGAGGTGGGGCGTACAAGGACATGGGAGGTATCATCCCAAGCTAAAAGCGAAGCTGAAGCCATCGATCCGTCATACTGCAAAAAAATCCGAGTGGAAGGAGACGATCAAACAAGGCGCAGTGCATTGACGTTAGTACCTAATAGTAGCCACATAAAGGTCAGGCCTGTCAGGGCAAAGGCAAAAATGACTGGCGGAAAGCGCCTTTGGTTGGCTTTGAACGAGTCAACGACTGGGAAAGGGTAGGTAGGCTTTTTTCCACTTGGAGAAGCCACATTGGACGGGAAGCCTGACCGGCTCACCGGGTGGCATGACGGAATCGTTTTGATCGACGAAACAGATCTTGTCAGGGCAGCCACCTTGGGCGCCTTGGCTCGATGTGTGGATGACCGAGGAAGACCTTGTAACGCTTTGTTAGATCCGAGTTTGCGGGATGTGAGTCGTCGACTCGTCAGATGGGGTCATGGAAGGGTGGATGTGACATACATGATGAGGCTCGGCGGTGGTACAGTACCAGAGTTGATAACCAGGTCCAGATATTTGGCAGAATATCACGCCAAGTTCTGCCGGGACGTGAAGTTGGAAAGACGAAACAAATAATATCTAAAGCCAAAATGAGAAGTGCATATCACGGTTGACAAACGTCCAGCCTCCCCCCAAAGAGAGTCGGCCAAGTGGTGAAGCCCGAACAGAAAGAAGAGTGGCTGCCTCTCGCATTTGCTACGTCAAAGCACAGGAAGGGCATGGCAGGGCAGGAAAAAAACAGGATGATGTTGGGAGACGAGTGTTTTGTGCCCAATGAGTCATCACAAAGGAAAGGAAGTCCAGGGGCACAAGAAGCAAACCTGCTGACAACGTTTCGTCCGGTTACCGCATGGATGATCACCAGATTTTGTTGGTGTTGGTGTTTCCATTGCCGCCCCCGGGTACAACCTCGGCATCCGTATTCGAGACGATGCCCAAAACGAGAGGACAGTGACACTGCGCGGCGGTTACCAAGCAGCTGGCTGTGCAGAGTCATGGCATGATGCCCAAGACTTTGGTATCCAATCGCCTTTCTTCAGCTGCGGTTTGTGCATCGAAGGTTGGAAGTTTTCTTTTGGTCACCGGCGACCAATGGCCAACGAGAAGAAGGGATGACGTTGAGAGAAGAAACAAGACGAGTTCGCGAAAAAACGAGGAGGGGTTCGTGACGGGGCATGCGGTGATTGGTTAATAATTTTGCAGGATCCTGGTAATATCATGCTGGCTTAATTGGTGTTGTACTAACACTTTATTTAGTTGTGATCGCCACAGAGCGTTAACAGGGTAACATCTGCAACCGGAGGGAAGAGGCGCTAAATTTGATATTAGCCTATCTTCTTAAGGGCAAAAGAACAGGGGAATCTGTTAAGGTCGTATCTCTGCAACCTCCGTCCAAGAATAACGGAAGATCAAGTTTGTTCCCACGTTCACCATCTGTGAATACAATCCTCATTGAAATATGGGTGACGCAACGATCTGCAAATGCGAATGGAGAGAGAAATTTAAAGGAAAATGGGAAGGGGACAAGTGCAATTGCGTATCCGACATGGCTCACACGATAAGCGTTAACAATCTATCAACCTCTCGGCAAAGTTTGCGGCATTCATGTTTACGACATATCTCAATCAGCTGCCCATCAAGGTTCTCATCCATGTTCCAAATATCATCACGAAGAAAGAAGTCACATCTCCCATCATCCATCATAGGTAATGAGTTAACGACAGAAGTTATTTAACAAGAACAAACTCCCAGATCATATCCAAAGCCAAAAAAAGGAAAAAAACGAGCTATATCCAAATTTTTCTTCACCACCTCCAAGCCCCCGGTACAATCTCATCCACCACACCGTCCACACCAACTCCCACACCCACACCCAATTGCACCACTCCCTTTTCAGATGGTGTCGTCGGCACCATCAAAGCCTCAATCGTCGAACTCGCATTCGACACCGCCTTGATGCGCACTCTCCTCCTTTTTACCCCTTCTTCAACTTCCTCCTCTGTTTGCCTGTGAATGCCTAAAGCCTCCAGCCGCTCCTCACAATCTGAGCTCTCGGCACTGCTTCCCCTGAAACTTAGGGAAGGTTCGGATCCCCAACTTGCACTTGGTGTTCCGGTGACACTTCCACTTCCACTCTCATGACCCCTTGAGCCCAAACGACTAGAGGTACGACTGGAGGTAGATGTACTCTTGGTCTCATGATTCTCATCCTCGCCTGCCTCTCCGTTACCCACCACGCTTTTTTCTTCCTGTCGAGGGCCTTGGGGTTGAGGACCTTGACCTTGATCTTGACCTTGAGTTCCAGCTTGCCCCCCACCGCCCCCCTCGCCATTGCCAACGGAGACAACAGTACCTCTAACGTCGACATTAACGACCGGAGCGACAGAAACTCCAGCCACTCCAGTCACTCCAGACCGTCCAAAAACCCCAGGACCACCAGCCCCAACCCCCTCCACAGCCGACTGCCAAGGAATCTCCTCCTCCTTCTGCCTCACTTTCCCCTCCACCATCCACCCCTCCGTCCTTTCCCTCTCCTCCCTACTCTCGCTCCGCTCCATCTCCTCGCCCTCTACCGCCTCATCATACATCTCCCTCATCTTCTTCAGTTTCCCCTCGTCCCTCGGATGCGCATCAAAGGGAAAGCGACAGGGTTTAGCAATCAAAAGGGGCGTGTAATCGTTCCAGTGCACCGGTAATTCGCTTCCAGTCAGCGGGTCGGTCTTTTTGGTGATGGTGAAGGCCCACGCCATACCGCCCATGGTTAAGAAGAGATCCTGCTCGACGATGGGCACGCCTTGGCAGGTGCGTCGGCCGAAGCCGAATTGGGAGAAGCCGGAGAGGTTGGGGTAGAGGGTGAGGGGTTCGCGGTAGGTGGATGGGTAGGAGGGGAGGAGGAAGCGGGAGGGGTTGAAGGTTTCTGCGGAGGGGTAGGTGCTTTCGTCGCGGGTTATGGCCCTGTGTTGGTGTTGGGGGTTAGTATGGTATTATGGTGAGGAGAGGGTAATGGCGAAGATAAGGGAAAGGAAGGAGGGGGGAGGGGGGTTGAAAGTTGGAAGGGTGAGGACGGGAGTCGGGAGGAAAGACTTACCACTCAAGAGCGTGGATGGTAGCTCCGGCGGGGATGAAATACCCATCATAGACATCATCTTTCTCAATGGCATGCGGAATCCCTAAGGTAGTTATCATCACGGTCAGTATCTTCCCTCTTCTCAGTATCAACAAAACAAGACGGAGACAGAAAATAACATACCAGTAGGCACCGGCGGCCTCCACCTAATAACCTCCTTAACCACCGCCCTCAACAACGGCAATTTCTCCCGATCCTCCCACATCGGACACCTCCCCGCCAACTTGGTATCAATCTCCTCCTGCAACCTGGCCTGCCACTCCGGATAATGGCACATGGCCAATATATAACTCTGAATCGGGCTTCCAATCGTCAGAGCACCAGCAATAGCCATCAAGCCAACCACATGCATCGCCTCATCCACATCCGCCTCCTTGGCTTTTTCCTCGTCAGTGTCACTTGCGCTGGATTTCTTAGAAGAACTGACGCCGCCTCCTTGCTGCTCCTCGAGAAAAGTGCGGATGAAAGAAGGCTCGGCGCGGCCGACGTCCATCATCCTTCTGACAAAACCAATGTTGGAGCGGAACTGTTTGTCTTCCAAGTCATGGCGGGCCTTCTCCTTTTTCTGCCAGGGGAGAGGGCGAGGGGGAGATGCCGCAAAAAGGAGATGACGTTGGGCAGGGCGCCCGAGGGGGAGATGGTTTCGAGCAGACCAAAAGTGGTGTGCCGCAGGATTTGGGCCGGGTGGGCACTGCCCCATGATAAACGGGAGATGGTGCGCGAGGTGAATTGCTCGATGTACTCGATGTAGTCCTCGGGGGATTGGGACAGCAAGTACAGGAAGCGGTTGCGCTCGAGGGTGGGGTAGTCGTGAAGGGAGGCGAGGGCCGAGGTGTGCATTAGGTGGTTGCAGAGTTTGCGTTGGCGTTTCCAGGTGTCTGGTTGAACTTGTTAGTACCTCTCTCTACAGGTACCTTTGTGAATTATCCATTAAGTGGTGAGGAGCAAAGTAAGAGAGAGGGGCTTACCATTCCGCCCAAGAAGAGCCAGGTAATCACCGCTTGTCCGGTTATCAGGCAAGTTGGGAATCTGTGGCCGGTCAGAGTAGATGTTTGCTCGTCGGGACAGGAGGTCGTGAGCAATTTTCTCTGAGGAGATCCAGACGTGGGTGACGCCGAACATCTTGGTCTGGTAGACCGGACCATAGACCTTGCTCCACTCGT